CTCTCTCTCTCTCTCTCTCTCTCTCTCTCTCTCTCTCTCTCTCTCTCTCGCTCGCGTGCACCCACACCCACACACACACCACACCCACACACACACACACAAAGACCTAGGTTTGAGTCCTACCTCTAAAACATACTGTCTGGGTAACCCTGGGCAGCTCACTTAATCCTTTGATGCTCTAAGAGTCTAAGTAGTAGAGAAAGTGCTGACCTGCATTAATTAGCACTGGGAGTTACCTCACCTGGAAGTTCCCTAAGCTGATAAAATTGGTCTGATTCCTATCCCTATTAATATTTCTGAGCTTATGGAACTTCTCTTCCTGTCTCTAACCTGCTTGTACTTAAATGCCTGACAATAAGATAACTGAGTCAAAAATATGGATATTTTAGTCCCATGTCTTGCCTAACTCCAAATCGCTTTCCAGAGCACTTGGACCACAATCAACAGCCCCCAAAAGGGGCCTTGGTGCCGGTCTTCCTGCAGGAGGCACCTCCCACATGGTCTAGTTCCATCTTTTATCATTTCTCACCATTGGCCAGGCATGTGGGGAAGCCCTACAGTTGTTGGGATTTGCCTTCCTCTCATCAGTCGGGATTTTCTCCCAACTTTTCCAACGAGTTTGTGACCTGACGGTTCTTCAGCCTCCTTCCCTCCCAGGGCTTCATTCTCCGTTCTACTCCACACCTGCTACCTTTCTAACTCTTTCCCTTACACTGAACCTGTTCTTCCTAAAGGCATGGCCTCCACTCCCTATTCAAGATCAACCAGCACATTGCAAGCACCTACTGTGTACCAGGCATTGTGCTAGGTACTGGGGAGACAGGGACAAAGAATGAAAAAATCCCTACTCTCAAAAAGCTCACATTCTTACTGGGCAATCACCTGCCCTCAAGATCCTACAGCCAATCAGCTTTCCACGATCTCCATCTGTCTGGACCACTCTGCAGATTCTGACACTAATTTTCCTTATAGTTATAATAGATCCTTATGTCATGTTACTCCTCTGCTCACTCACCTTCCATGGCTCCTAACTGCCGCCCAAATGAGATTCAAACTTCTTCACTCGGCTTTCCTCCACAAGCAGCCACCCCATGCATTTTAAGTCTAAAATTATGATGTTCCATTCACTCTGTACTCTAGACCAAATGAATACTTCAGCCCAGTGAGTGTTTCATTCGCTTTCCTGCCCTTGGGCCTTTTCCCGGGCTATTCTGTCTACCCAAAACGATCTGCTTCTCTGTCCCGGTTTTGTTTTTTGTTTTTTGTTTTTTAATTATAAAAAAAAACCTGTTTATTTGTCCTCAGAATATGCAGAGGGTCCTGTCTGTTTCTAGGACACTGATGTGTTACTTTTGATCATTTCATTCCTCTTCTCCTCACTCCTTCACACACACACACACAATCCTTAGATCAGGAAACCTCTTTCAACATAAGAAGGCCAGGGGGTGGGGGATGAGGGAAGAAACTCCTCATTAGAATGCTTCTGAGTCCAAGAAATCAAATCGACCAATTCCCCGCCCCCAGACCAAATGTTGGGCGAGCCGCCACTTTCTTCCACAATCATCAGCCTTCCTCCCTTCCTCCTGGTCCTAGGCTTACCCGGAGGTCTCATTTCAAAGCCTGCTTCCACGGGTAAGTTGGGCCAGAGGCTACAAGGACTCTGGAAGTGCCCCTGGCTCGCCAGGGCCCTTCCTCCTCCTAAATTCGCTGCAGAAGAGCAAGTATTTTTTGGCTGAGAATTTTCAGAAGAGGGTGAGTCATGTTTGCCTCAGGCACACTGAAATCGTGAGCATTTTGGAGGCTGGGTGGAAGCTCTCCAGGGCCCACACCTCTGCCCCACAGCCAGGCCCAAGAGCAACTCATCAGCCCAATACATTGGGGTTGCGGGAAGGAAGGGGTTGACTTCTCTTTGGATTCATTCATTCACTCAACAGACATTTATTAGGTAACTACTAGGTGCCAGGCGCACAAAGAAAACTGAAAACAACCCCTGCCCTCGGGGAGCTTACATTCTATTCAGAGATACAAGTTACCCACATAAGTAAATGCAAGATACAAGATAATCCAAAGGAGTAAGGAGTTTTAAGAACAGTGGGGATCAATCAGTCAATCAATCAACAAACATTTATTAAGCACCTACTAGGTGCCAGGCACTATGCCAGGTGCTGGGGTCTAAAGGCAAAAATGAAACAGTCCTTGCCTTCAAGGAGTTTCCATTCCACTAAGAGGATTGCACACATTACACACATAAATAAATACAAAGTCAATAAAAAATGAGAACAGTAACAACTGAGGGAGGAGGGGAGGATCAAGAAAGGCTAGGAGGGAATGGATCCTGGAAGGGGGCAATGAGGAAGGAGTGCATTCCATATATGGGGGTACAGCTTGTGCAAATGCACAGAGATGGGAGATTCATGGGAATGACTAAATAGTCCAGTTTGCCTGGAGTATAGAGTGCATGATGGAAAATCATGTGACTATGTCTGGAAAAGAAAGAGATGAAGAAATGCTCCTCCCTCCATTCCTTGGAGAGGTGTGAGACAACAGGTGCAGAAGGTTGCATAAGATGGCAGACACTACTTTAATGTCAATTCATTTTTCTTAACTGATGCTCCTTATGCAAAGGGAAGGTTCACTGGGGTGCAGGCAACTGCGCATAATTGTGATGTAAAAACAAAAGCCAGGTTAAGGAACTATCTCAGAGGCCATGGGGAGCCTCTGAGCGGATTGTGGGCGAGCTACTTAGGAAGTCTACTGTTTGGAGGAGGAACTGAAGAGATGAAATCCAGAGGCCAGGAGACCGAAGCAATCCAAGGGAAGGTGATGAGCACCTGCCGCTCATTGAATGTGGGGGCGAAGGAAAGGGCAGACGAGGGTGGCTTTAAAAAGAGAAGATTGACCACTGACACCGTAGGAAGGAGCAGAAACAAGAGACCAGTCAGAGGATTGTGGAACAGAGGAGACAGTCCCTTTGTAGCTTGGAGAATATGGCTGAGCATCAAGCATCGGGGAAGCTGATCCAGCAGCTTCCCAGAATCCCCCTCTGACATCTCCCTGGCTGGGGAGGGAAATGAGATCCTTCAAAGGCTTGCTCCCAGGTGGAGATAGCCGCCTGTTCCCAAAATGAAAGGCATTTTACAACCAGGCCCAAGTATTCCCACTGGAGAGAGAGAAGCACTTTCCCCTGCCCCTTCCCCTCACCAGAGTCCAGGGTGCGCAGGGGCAGCCCTGCTCTGGCCAGGGAAGGGGACCCGGCCCCAAGGCCCAGCGGGCACTGGGCATTCATCTCTCTGGTAACAGCACAAAGAAGATGGCCTTCAGGAAGTGACCAAAGCTGCAGAGGGCGGCCACGAGCCAGTGGGATCGAAGGCTGGGGTCAGTGTTCACCACACACTTCATGATGTCTGCCTACAAGGGAAAAAAAGCAAGCTGGCTTATTATGAGACTCCAACCCCTGGGCGGCTGAGGGGGGCAGGTAGTGGAAATGGGAAGGCTTAGTGGGGGTGGTCTGCCCAGGGAGATGCTGGGGAATAGTAGCTGAGGTCTCCTGCTTGGCCAGATCACTCTATAGACCAAGTGGGATTTCACAAAATCGTCCCAAAAGGCACCAGAGCCTTGGAATATGATAATCGCCCTGTCACTAGCTGACCCACTCTCAGAGAGGCTCTAGAGGGAATTTCTGCGAGGGGAGAGGGAGAGAGAAGAGAACTCTTCTGCATGCCTGAGACATGGTGGCATATGAGTAGGAAGCTGAACTGGGAAGGCCTGGATTCAAATCCCCCTGGAACAAGTAAGCAGTCCGAGCTGCTGGGTCCTCATCTGGAAAATGGAGCTGATGTCAGACGCACCTCACAAAGGAGATCACATGATATCGTATTAATTAAATGCTCAGGGCAGAGTGAGTAGACACAGGATAAATGATTATCCCTTCCTGGCTCTGGGTTGGATCAAATCGCCTGGACGTCTGGCCTCCTCCTGCCTGCCCCAGCAGGCCCTGCCTGAGGAGGGGGCTTAGAACTCGGTCAGACAAGGCCGGTGGACACCTAGAGTGGGGACACAGAGCCTGACTTCAAGTGTGTGACGGGCTGGCCCCCGCCAGAAGAGGGGTGGAGGTCAGAGAGAGGCAGAGTTGGTCCAAATCAGGACCGTCCTAACTAGAGCTGCTGAATTCTAAGTACAAGGCACTGCCTGAGTGGATAGTGAGCCGCCCAGACCTGCAGATCTGTGAGCAGAGGGCGGAGGGTCTCTTGCTGGGATGCCAACAAGAGGAGATTCCTGGTCAGGCACTAGCTGGATGAGCGGGTCTCTGGGGTTCCCTCCAACCCAGAAATTCTGGTATTCTTTAGGATCCTAGCTTCAGAGCTAGAAGAACTTAGGGTCCTTCCTTCCTCCCTCATTTTACAGATGAGGAAACTGAGGCTCGAGGTCATATGACTTTCCTAAGTGTAAGAGCAGGGATTTGAACCCAAGCCTTCTGGCTCCCAATCCTTCAGCCTCTACATGTAAGACTATTAGCTGAGAGACACTCCCCAGCCCTCCTCTTCCTCTTCCCTCTGCTTCCTCTACGGTGGCTGTGAACAGCTGCCCTGGCATGTCCACACCCTGTAAATTGCTACCCGATGCCTGGGGCTGGCTCCAAGGCAGCCTAGGGCTTGGCTCGTTCAGCCCACTGTGCAGAGACAAGCTCTGCAGTATCTTCCAGGAGGAACGCTCTCTTCCCACAGCTTCAGCTGAGGGCTGGGTCTTGGGGAATGGCGTTTAGGTGACAGATTAAAAAAAAATAACAAGCCCCCCCTCCCTCGCCCCCGGCCAAGAGGCTTCCGCGTGGCTTTGCCATTGCTTCTGTCTCTTTCTGGACTGCTTAGTTAGAAAGGCAGCAAAAACAACAAACTTCCAGGGATGGTTTCTTGGATTTCTTTCCTTCAGCCCAGCAAGGCAGAGTAAAATGAGCTGATTGGGAGAACTGGGAGAAAGCTGATTGGTTCACAGGCCAGACTGCTAACCAGTGCCAAAAGCTTTCTTGGGCAAAGCTCTCCGGGTGCGGGGATAGGCCAGCCCGCCTGACACCCCAATTCCTGCACTCTCTTTGGGACCAAAGGGTCACACTTGGTGGAGCAGAGGGGACCGTACTCTTCCCCAGACAATATGGGTTGTGGATGGTGGGCTGCAGGCACGGATGAGGTCACCTCATTGGCTTCCTCATTTTGCTGATGAGAAAGCCAAGGGGTCACTGAAGTGGTTAGTGGCAGAGCCAGGATGAAATCCAGGTCCTCTGGCTCTAAACCCAGCCCTCTTTGGCCTCCTCCGTGTGGAGGGGAAGGGGGCAAAATCCCAAGCCCAGGTACTGAACCTGCCAGCCAGGAGCCAGAGAAAGCTGGGTCAGACACATGTGGGACTTAGGATAGGGACGTCTGCATTTCCCCATGGTGGGTGAGGAGGGCGAGAAGAGGCTGTAGCCACCAGAAGGGAAGGAACAATCTCCGTCCCCCCAGGTTAGAACGAGAACCTCGCCCGGCCTGTGAAATATTGTCATCATTGAGCTGTGAAGAGTCATGCCAAAGAGGGGACGTCTGAGCAGGGGGGAGATCACGCCACTGCCCAGGGGTGATGGTGGAAGGCCAGGATCTGAGGAGGTGCCCGACCTCTGGGCACGTGGGAGAGGAGGGAGCTTTTTCAGGTCCCCGAGATTCCATCACCTGTAGGCTTAAGGTATCATTGGCAAAGAAGGGAGGGAAAGAGGAGGAAGGAATAAGAACAGCCAGCATTGCTATGCCTTTGAAGGCTGGCAAAGAACTTTACAGATATTATCTCCTTTGATCCTCAAGATGACCTTGTGAGGAAAGAAGGAAGTAAGTATTTACATGGGGCCTCCTACGTGCCAAGCACTGTGCTAGCTCAGCACTTTATCCTCACAACCACCCTGGAAAGCAGATACTATTATTATCCTGATTTGACAGATGTGGAAACCGAGGCAGGCAGGGGTTAAGTGACTTGCCCAGGATCACACATATAGTAAGTGTCTGAGGTAGGATTTGAACTCAGCTTTTCAGGGCCATTTCTATTTTACAGTAGAGGACACAGAAGTTGACTCAAACCCAGGCCTTCGCTAGCTCCACCCCCACACCTGGCAGGGAGAGATACAGATGAGCATCCCCAGCAGCTGTGGGCCCAGGAGGCAGAACCACCCCACTGCAGCCAAAGGTCCTCCCAGGAAGCCGGGGGGCCAGGTTCTACATCCTTCAGAAGCTCATGAGAACGCTCTTGCGCCGTCTGCTTTGGGCTGGATGGCATTGCTAAGGGGGAGATTCAGCAAAGCCGAGCTCTTGCTCGCCACAGAGAATCCCGGCCCCTGGGTCCTCCCACGCTGTTAGGAAGAGGAACAGTTCACTGGCCAGGACTGAAGGAGGGGACAGTGGGGGGTGACTCGGGGATGCGGGGCTCAGGCTCACCCTTTTGCTCTCCCCACACTGAAGGATTCAGCCCAGCTGCAATGGCCCCAGGTGGGCACTCCCCTGGCCTCCCATCATGATCCCCAAATTAAAATCAGATGCAAAACACAAGATTTCATGCCAATTTCTCAGTGAGGGGTTTCAAGAAAGGGGCAATGTTATTTATACCATTCTGAGGATCTTTTTTCTCCTTCTTCCTGAATAATATTAAGGAGAAGGACCCTAGAGGCTGGCTGGGCTGTCTTCTCTTCCCTGCCCTTTCTATCCCTGATATGGAAAAAACCTGCCTCAGTGTCTGTCTCTTGTCTCTGTCTCTGTGTTTAATCTAAGTGTGTTTTGTTTCGTTTCTAAACTCTTCTGAAGGAGGTGCTCTTTGACTGGGGAATGACTGAGCAAGTTATGATATTCAGATATAATTGAGTATTACGGTACCCTAAGAAGTGAGGAGTACGAGGAGTTCCCAGAGTCCCAGAGTAGACACAGAGCAAAGTGAGCAGAATCAGGAAAGTAAGACACGCAACCACCAAAATCACACATACGGAAAGAGTAGTAACAAAACAATCCAAACTGAAGCTGGAAAGTTACAGCGAGAGCTACAATGTGTCAAGCAGTAAGGGCTTGGTAAATATTATCTCATCCCAGTCTCACAACCACCACAGGAGGTGCTATTATGTATGACCTCATTTTACAGTTGGGAAAACTGAGACAGAGGGAGGTGAAGTGATTTACCCAGGGTCACCCAGCTGGTAAGTATCTGAGTGGGATTTGCACTCAGGTCTTCCTGCCTCCTGACTCCTGACTCCCATCACCTACCCTCCCAGAAAGCAAACATGGTCCTGATGGAGAGAAGAGGTATCTGATTCCTTCTTTCCAGAGGTGGTAGACTATGGGTGTGAAATATTGCATACAGTCCAACTTGGCTGAACTGATTCTATTTCCTTTTTTATTTTTGGTTACAAGTGATGGCTCTCTGGGGATTGAAACTGGAGGTAAAGTAAAAAATGTTAAAAATTTTCAAGCAGAAATATTGAAAAGTAGCGATGAAATCAAGTCCTCCGTGTGGAGGCAGTTTGATTGACCTGACCATGGGCATGGGACAGGGCTAGGTCTTGGCTCTCACTAACACCTGGAAGGAGGAACCAGGGGGCTGGGATTGAGGGGCTGTCACTGCAGCAATTAATTCCTCCTGCTGTCAGAGCCCCAGTGGAAATCTGCCCACGACAGCCGCCCCCCCCCCCCCCCCGAGCCAAGGCCAGTGATCTGACAGGCAGGCCAGGCCCCAGAGAGGATCTCCCAGCCAGCCCCAACACCACCATCAGTGGGAAAGTCCAGAGCAGATGTGTGCACGTTTAGGGGTCGGAGGGCAGAGGGGAAAAGTGGGGACCCGGCAGGAGCTCCCCTGGAGTCGGGGCAAGGTTCTGGTGTGTGAGAGGAGGAGCCTTTGCCCAGCCTCAAGGCCACCCACCTCAGCTCTGCCACAGCTGCCCAAGGGCAATCTCAGGGGCAGAGGCAGGCCTGCTGGCTCCTCCTGAGCACTCCTGCGTCAAGGTTGCTAGGAAGGGCAGGGTGAGCCCGTAAGCAGGGCAGGGAATCTGGGACTTTGACCCAGGCGCCAACACCTGGGAGAATGGGCTTCCTGGGAGGAGGGCATCTTTACTGACATGGTCTGGAGAACTCATCCTGCCAGGCAGCCAAACCCTTAATCTCCACCCACGCATCCAGGGGTCAGGTCAGTGGCCTTCCTCCCAGATTCTTCTAGGATGGCTCAGCTCCTTCTAGAGGAAGCAGCTGATGTAATCAGGAAAACCTGAGTTCAAATCCTCTGTTAGCTGGTGACCCTGGGCAGATGACTTCATTTCTCTGGGCCTCATCTGCAAAGAGAGGCTCCGTGCATAAGATCCAAGCCCTCCCCATTCCTGGAGTGGGAACTTACTAGCTTCACTTGCCGACTTTATTTCTATTTGGAATTTAACAAACGCTGCCAAGGCCCTGCAAAAGCAGCCCCCCCACCCCAAGGATGAAAAGGTCACTGTCAGTAGAGGTCAGGGGAGGAGGGGAAGGTCAGACTGCCTCTTCTCCCCCAGGATGATCATGGTTGGGCTCTCTCTTGTGCCCACCTGCCTTCTTCCTCAACTCCCCTGGGGGCCCAGGCCACAGCTACCTAGCAGTGCTATCCGCCTCTCCTGGGTGCCAGGACTCCTAGCTGCAGCTGTGAGGGCAGGGCACCATCTCTGCTGACAAAGGGGCACCAGGGGAAGGGGCTGGGCTGGACAGAACTGCAGCCCAGGTACCAAGGAGCCCCCAGAAACAGTGACTGGCCGGCTGATACAGCAAGCCGGAGCCCAGAAGGAAAGGAGCTGCTGGAAGGCACCGAGGCTGGTCCCCAGCCACAGTGGCCAGCAAAACAATCCACATTCTGTGCCCTTCTGCTGCCAGGAGGTCAAGGGGCTCAGACTGAGAAGAGCAGCCCAACCCCCTTCTTTCACAGATGAGGAAACTGAGGTAGAGAGAGACAGAGACACACACACAGACAGAGATAGAGACAGAGGCCCCAGGCCACCCAGATGCTCTGCCACCAAGGTGCGGGTCTGACCTAAGCCTGTCCCCTTTTTTCTGATCACCGCCTTGTATCCTGGACCCACTAGTAACAGAGGTCAGCTTTCCCTCATAGGAGGAATCGGGCAGGAGGCCGGCCTTTTCCCTTTCTCTGGCCTCTTGGGCAAGGCAGAGGGATGCCTTCTGCTCATTTTCCTTGCCTCATTAGGGCAAGATGCCATGGTAAGCAATATCCCAGGAAGCCATGGGCAGGGCCCTTTGTGTGCAGTTCCCAAGGCCATCCTTCAGCCCTGGGAGGGGCTTCCCAGAGGAAACCCTGCCATGAATGGGCAGGGAATTCTCGCTGAGCAGAGGGAAATCCTGGGTAATGACTGAGGTGTGGCCAAGGGAGGTGGGGTCCCCTGGCTCAGCTGCCAGGTAGCCAAACCCTTAATCTCCACCCACGCATCCAGGGGTCAGGTAAGTGGCCTTCCTCCCGTATTCTTCTAGGATGGCTCAGCTCCTTCTAGAGGAAGCAGCCGATGTAATCAGGAAAGCCTGAGTTCAAATCCTGATGTCTGTTAGCTGGTGACCCTGGGCAGATGACTTCATTTCTCTGCTTACTGACTGACCATCCCTAACTAGAAAGCAAGAAAAGATCACCAAATCACAGATCTAGAGTTGGAAGGGAGCTTAGTCTAACACTCATTTTACAGGTGAGGAAACTGAGTCTCAGAGAGTGGAGGGGACTTACCCAAGATCACAGAGTCAGTAAACATCAGAGCTGACATGCAAACCCAGGACCCCGTCTCTGGCTGTTCAACCCAACTCTGACCACATTGGCTCTCATGAGCCTCAGTTGCCATGACCAGACCCTGACCCCTCAGGCTGGAGGGAGAGGAAATTTCTATTTCCCAGCTCAGCATCACTGCAACACCACTGGCCTGAGAAGAGGGTCTGGAGAGGAGGAAATTGTGCAAGCCTTTGGAGATGATAATCTCTGGTTAGAGATCAGACTCAGCTGGCAGCCCCTGTGGGGGCCTCAGCTGGAGGGAAGTCCAAGCTGCATCTCAGACTTGAGAAAGGAAGAGCCTGCTTGGATGGAGGAGCTGGACTGTGAGATTGCCAGAGGTCAGATGTGGAACACAATGAGCACGGCCTGGTCAAGCACCTGCTTGTAGTACCAAGCTAGGCCTGCCACCAGCCAGACTTCCTGCTCCTTTCATTCCCCACCTTCCACAAAGCCATGGGGCTTTTGTTTGCTTTGTTTCCATTGTATAGGGTTTGTTTTTCTAAAAATAAGAATGAACACACACACACACACACACACACACACACACACACACACACACAAAGTGAACACTCCTTACCCATCCTCCTCGCCTCTTTAGCCATGTCACCAGCGTCTTCCGAACAAACTCTCCCAGGCAGTCCACGATGGTGTGGACCATGGCTGGTTGGGCCTGCCTCACACAGTCCACGGCCAGCCCTGCTGCCACCGCATAGAGGGAGACCACTTTGCCCCATGTTATTCCTATAAAAGAAGAAAGGCCCAGTCTTCCTTAGCTCAACTCACTTACCATGTACCATCCCCCTTCTTCTCTGGCTGCAGGGAATGTTGGCATTTTCCAGTTATCTATGGATGCTATCAAGGGATTAGAGGATTAGAGATCATTTTTTAGTACAGGAAAGAACTGCAAAGGTCATGGTGTACTGCCCCTTCATTTTAGGGGGCCAAGAGCCAGGCCTCAGGGTTCTCTGATACGATTGTTGGTCATAGCAATAACTCCCATTTCATAGTGCCTTAAGGTCTATATAGCCTTTCCTCCCAAATCCCCTCTGAGGCATTCATTCATTCATTCATTCATTCATTCATGAAGCACTTATTAAGCACCTACTGTGTGCTAAGCTCTGTGAATAGGAAAATGACAGAATTATTAGATTCCAACATCACAGCTGAGGAAATTCATGGAAATGAAGTAATTTGTCCAAGGTTCCACAGCTAGTAAGTGTCAGAGCCAAGGACTCAGCTCCAAAAGTGGTGTTCTTTCCACTACACAGGGCAGAGCACGGGTTCTTAGCGGGGGGGGGGGGGGGGG